TATATATATATATATATATATATATTCGTTTCATACCTCGACCTCCCTGATATCATTTTGGACATTGGTTGCTTTTGCTTCCTGAGTCTCCATAGCATGCTTAATGCTTTGTTCTGCTTTGTACCTCATCTCAAGCCCATGTATGCAGTTGTTGAGCTGCGTTCGCAGCTGTCTCTTCCCCCTCAAGATCTCGTCCGTTTCCCCTAGAGCAGTAGAGAGCACAGCCAAAAGGCAGCTATTCAGGCTCGGTTTTGGGGACTCAGGGTTTATTGTTTAATGCATTTGCACAGGATCCAACACTTAAACAGAAACTAGGAGAAATACCATTGCATGGCGCTGCACTTGCACCTTGGAATTTAGGGTTTAACTCACAGCAGCGCACAAACGACAAACAACACTCAGCAGGCGCAATGGGGGGTAAGGCCAATCCTAAAATCTACAAGCTTACAGTTTCAGCCTCGAAATATCTGAGCCGTTCTCTGGTATCTACCGCTCGGCTTTAAAGTATCGTTGTTAACAGCTCTAGGTGGCTAATGAGGGGTCTAGGCCCTAGTGTTGGGGGGGTTGGTTTTGGTGCCTTAAAGGCAATTTTCAGCTTCTGCCTTTTAGCTGCTACGGTGCGCCTTGCAATAGTCCCTGTTCATTGTCGGCGCTCAACAGTATGCCCTTAAACCTAAGCCCTAAAACCCTAGAACCCAGAGGCTAACCTACGCTGTGCCTCTTGAATGGAGGTTTTGCAGGCTTGTAGGTCGGCTTGTTGCGCCTTAATTTGCGCGTTTATGAATTCCTTTTGCTCATTCATTTCATGTAGTTGGCTGTGCAGTCGATCTAAAAAGAAGTCCTGGCGCATTTTCATTATTTCGCTGTGGCGCAAGTCTTCAGCATCTTTGTACAGCTCCCGCCGTTTCAGCTAGAAAGAACAAAACAGAGCTATTTTCTGAAGGAACGTTAGGGGCATACCTGTTGGCATAGTGTTTGTCATCGTTACTGTTGTTGTTGTTAGTGATCTTGTTGTTAGGCTGTGTCGCTTTCGCGGTTGTTGTTCTTATTACAGGTTGTATTTGCTGTTATTATCTTTATTAATGTTTTTGCTGCTGTTATCTTAGTCGTCGTCGTCCCCGTTAGTGTTGCTACTACTGGGCTTGTCGTCATTGTTGGTGTTGCTGGTAGTGGTCGTCACGGTAGTGGTCATGCGGGTGGCGGTGCTAGTGGAATTTCTGCCGCTGCCACTTTGTCTTTGTGTTGTGCTGTGGTTTGTTTCCACAGGAATCTGCTTGTAATTGATGCTGCTGTTGTAGAAAGTTACCGCTGGCAGGCCACACCCTTCGTTGGTTTTTAGTGCCAAGGAATTATCATGCAATTTGCCTGCATGACAACTGTGTCTGCATTGTTTAGCGTATCGTGAAGCGTGTATGTACCTTAATGGCATTTTCAAGGTTAGCAGTGTGTTCCTGGGCCTTTTGAAGTGCGAATTTCAGATCATTATAATCTTCTTGGGCCTTGAAAAGAGCATTTTTTCTCGCTGCTACTTCCGCTTCTTCTTCTCGGAGTTGCTCAATTGTCTTTCTTAACTCCGCTTCACTTGCAGCCCGTCTCTGCAGGCGCAGGACGAAATGCCACATAGGCAGCTGTTGTGTTGTTGACTTGTTCTTCGCGTGCCTTCTCTATGTAGATGGTGCTGCTTGTACGCGCCTCCCCAGTATCGTCAATCCGGTTTTCATCTGTTATTCTCAGTCGGATTTTGCTTATACTTTTAATTTCTACTCTGATAGTTTGGGCTCCCTCCATCTTGGCGGAAAACCCTAAGCCCTGGGGCAAAAGTAATGTTGAGGGTGGAACTCCCTTTTTGACTACTGCAGTTGGTACCTTTTTGCTTTCTTCCTCGTCATTTGCCAGCTTTGTGATTTGGTTTTTGAAGCCCTTAACTCTTTGTTGTTCGTTGTAGAGGTTCTGGCCGACTTCATTGTGTTCCTTGTCAAGCTTTTTTCTCTCGACGTTCAATTCAAAAAGCCTTTCGTCCAAGTTCACCAGCCGTTTCCTCAGGTGTTCCTTTAAAGTTGCCTGGGCCTCCCGTAACAGTGGGTGGTTGGGTGGAAGCCCCTCAGAGGCAACAGGGCCTGGGGATATTCAAGCAAATCAAGTGTTGATCCCTTTCGCAGCTTAATAACGAACAGAGTGCGGTAAAATATCAAATCAGCTGTTGCCCTTCCTCCTCCTAATGTAATCTATTGGCAAGCAAATTTTATCTATTGGCAGTTGGACGAGCACGCCTTTTCACCAACTGTATTACTATTTGTGCCTAATGAAAGGGTTGCTGATGCGTCTAGCAGAAAGCTGCTGGTTGTTTGAAACAAGACTCGTATCCACGGGATTAGCAGACGACAATGATATAAAGCCAGAAAACTCGATATGTCACTACGAATACGTGGGAATTAAACGGCAACTTTCTCCGTACCAAAGATTCACAATTAGCAATGGGTGACCTGCCCTCATTATTGCTCAAAATAATAAATATGAACAGTATAAATATGTATTTGCATTAAGCAACACTTACGAGTTACACTCAGGAGAACGGCAGCGCGCACCCACATGTAAAAAATAGACTTTATTTTCCGACTTGGTTACCTGAAAGTAAGATGTCATTAACGTTCAGTTCTTCTTCCACCGCCATGGTCGCTTACAGTTCCCTCGCTTGTATCACTTTTACTTCTTTGTTGTGTTCCTAAGAAACAGACAAAAAGAAACTCCATCATACGAACAACCGTGTTAGGCGCCCGCGCTTTGTGTTTGTGTTTTCTCCTACCACCGCTACCAATGATAATGCAATGCACATCTGGAAAATGTAGGACGCAGGTTATTCTTTATGCGGGTGCCGCATTATTCGCCGAATACTTTTATCAATAAGGCGAGAGGCGCATGACATCAAACATCAGTGTTCCTTTTTTTGAGGTTGCTAACTTCAATTCTGTCTTTGCTGCTGCCTCCACTGTTGAGAGGTTGAGGCTGATGGTGGAACAAAGCTCCACCCCTCCGCCTCCCCACAGCCCCAAGCATAAGGGTGTAAACAATGGAGACAGTGCTGCTGTATCATGTAAAACAGTGCAGGCGGAGCAAATAATACGAACATTTATATGACCTGAGAATCTTGTTTGCCCTTCACAGCTTGCTCAACAGCCCATGGCTTCCAGTCGTAAACTCTGGTCCATAAACCACACCCCCTCAGCATATTACTTCGTAAGAACTGGAGAGTGGAAATTAGATATCATAGGGCTCCCAGCTGCTTTATTTACTCAACTGCGTTTAAACCTAGAGAAGAGAGTCAACAGAGGCGACGCTTCAAAACGGAGCCAGTGAAGTGCAATGGAAAGTGACAAAGATTAGTGAAAAACGAGAGAATCAGTGCTCGAGCAGTAGCAGTCTCCAGGAGCAACAGTACTTCGAGCCCGCAAAGGCAGACAAAGAGAGAAGATTATACTAATACCCAGCAGCAAAAATCCCATGCGGCCTCAAATAAAGATATTTTCCTTATGGTTTTGCTTTCCTATTACCATTTCTGGCTGTATTATTGTTGTTAATTGCATTCTCAGTGTCGTCTTTGTTATACACTCGAACAATGACATCTGTGCCTGGACTTTGTGCCTACGCTGTTGCCGTTAGTGTTTCTAGATTTATTATTCAATACTGATAACTGTCATTAGAGCTGCCCTACTATATCCTAAATAAAGGGAAAAATTGTTGAAGCCACGGAGCGTCGGTGTGCTGTTTCATTCTAAGACAAAGAAACTGGACGCGGTTATAAACGTTCACTAGTTCAATTCCAAGTCATACATGTGCAAGAAACATAAAATGATAGTTCCTCCTTCTAGTTTCGGTTTCTGTGGATTCCGCTTTGCTTCGATGTGCTTGGCTGGACACTGGATAACTCCTCCGCCAACCTGTAAGGAACGCCCGTGTGCAGAAGGTCTATTTACTAGCAAAATTTTGTAGTCTTCCGTTGGCGATCTACCTTGTACATGTTGATACAAGGAAAATGTGTGGAGATATGATTCAATGTTCAGTGATTAGGGTTTGCAGTTGGGTTTAAGTTTTACTAGCGGAGTGATGGCCCTGCAGCGCCCGCTTATAGTCAGTTCATTAGTTGGAATTGAATAAGAGCACAGAGTCTAACTGGCTTAAAACGTAATTAAAAATAACTACGCAAGCTGTGAAAGAGATTGTTACTTTAAAAAATCCCAAAACGCTTGCCGGATCCGCATGCAGCCCCAAAGCTTGTAGGGCGATCCTCCCCCGTCGTTAACTTCTATCTGCTCTACAAATAAGATAGAATTTAATATATTTCATAAAGTAAATGGATTGTGTTTAAATGAAAAAAATGTTTGCAGCGTCAAAAATAGGAAGTCGACAGTCCCTTTGAGCCCCCACAACAGTCGCCGCTTTTGTTAGCCGTTGGACAGATAAAACACAGTCTGAAAAAAGGGACAAAATAATTCCGCCTCTCCGATTTAACGCTATTTTTTATATTTTAATCTAGTACTTGTTGAATTTTACGCTGATTTTGAGCCGTATAAGGAGGGAGTACGACAAACAATGTGCCCGATGCGTGAAGGGCCCGCTACTGGCTTATGGGGCTGTAGAGAAGCGATAATAGGGTGAAATATGTAAGCTGTATATTTTAGACTTTAGGCAGTAGAGATCCAGGCTTAATGGTGAGGACTAGGTGCTGTTGGACTGCAGCAGCATCCGGAAGTCAGCACCCCGCTTCAGAACACCAGCAGATAATCACAACGAGAACACTTGTACTGTGGAGAGCTTATATAATTCTACAATTGTTATTGGCATTAGCCAGAAGATGCAGTTGCGATAATCTGTGAACCATGTGGCGTTACTTCTCTCTTTTTCTTGCTTGCTGAATCACAGCGCAACCACACATAAACACAGCTTTTGCAGATTAGCTTTTTTGCGTCATTGGTGTTTGGCGTACATCAACTCTTCTCACCAGTTTGCTTACAGGCGTCTCTGTTCCTCGTCGCAGATGAGGGAAATGTATATTCCATTGCTAAACGGAGGAGACACTGCAAACAATTTTAGACGGAGAGCGGGAAGCAAAGGTCGACAAAATCTTATTTAGAACGTTTCTCTTCTTCGAGGAACGGATTGAAACAGACTTCCTTCTGTTTCCAATCGGACAAAGCATAGATGTTCCCTCTTAAACACTATGTATCTATACAGAGACTCCCACATAATATACGCATACATTGGTGATACCAATGTGTTCTGTCCTATCGTCCAGTTGTACTTGCATCGTTGCAAGCTGTGCAACTTACTATGTTCGAATTCTGCTGTGAATAGCGCTTGCTCTACTCCCACCGTATTGCAGTGCTAAAAGGACGCGTCCACTACGACTTCATTGCTCAATATTACCAAACTTTTATCTCTCACACAATGCGTTTTTCTTCCGCTTCAATACATTTGTCTTTCTTTGTTATCCCCAACCTTCTGGCCTCCAGAGCCAGCAGCAACGGCCTCGTAAAACGCTTTGATGTCTGCATCTGCGGAAGGGTCGCCAGTGTACACCTCGTTAGGCGGACTACTACCGCCGAGGAGATGATTCTCTAGAGACGTTTTGCGTTTAGAAGACACAGAGGAAGAAACACCAGAGCTAACAGAAGAGGCGCATGCACCCATATTCACACGTTCTAAAGCTATTGGCTTCATGGTCTCTGCATCAGCGAGCTGCACCACAGTGCCGTCGCCTGGCAAAGCAGTGGGTGTTGCTGCTGCCGGCGTCAGCTGTTGTTCTGTGTTGTCTGAACAGCGACGTAGGGCGCTACTGGGTGAAAACCAAGGGGTGGAGATCGAGAAGGTGCTTGTCTGTTTTGCTTTCACTGGTACTGTATCACCGTCGCCTTTCTGTGGTGATGCATTACCAAATATGCCGTCCTGAAGGGAACCTAAGGGAACAGGGAGGCCAGAAATTATAGGGCTTCCTTGTGGGGAGTTGTGCACACTTAGCTCATTTTGCTCTCTGTTGGCAATGGTGTTAAACCATCCTTCAAAATCTTGCTGCAGTTTTTTTCGATTTCTCTCCACTGTTAAATAGAGGCGTTTCAGTTCTCTTTTAGCAGCATTGAGATCGTTTATGTTTTTTATGTAGGCATCACGCCAGACGGCGACCTGCTGCAGCAGGTTTGCTTCTTCTGGCGTGTCATCTTCTAAGATTATTCCTCCTTTATTTCCACTCTGTAGGCATTTTCGAATTCGAATTTTTTCCAGCTTGCTTCTCGCCCTTGCAATCTTCTCCTTCGCCTCCATCGCTGCCTCTCTGCATTTGTTAGCTTCTAAGTACAACTCCTGCATGCGTTTTGAATCGGCTTCAAGGAATTCCGTTTTCCTCGCGCTGCGTCTCAACACTTCAAACGCGCGTCCTCTGTCTTTAAGCAAGGCGGTGGCTTCGGCCCCTGCTAGCCATGGCCGTTCCTCTCCGTCCTCTCCTTCCCCTTCCTTAATCCTCGACCCCGCTCGAACAGCTGCTTCCACGGCAGCACGTGTGACTGCTCCTAATGGATCGTAGATGCTGGTTCCGGCGCTGGTGCTGCTGCTGCTTGGAGGTTCTGAACTTTGGTGTAAGATCCCCAGTAAGGTGGCGATCTCAGCATCCCGTTGCTCAACATGCAGCTGAAGCCGCTGAAGCGCCTCCCTGCAGTCGCGGCGTCTGCAGCGTCCACCGTTTGTATCCGTCATTTCTGCCTTTAATTCGTTGTACTTATCTCTGATGATACGGAAACAAACATCAGCAGACCGGAGATCTCGAGCCGCTGTCACTGGGAGTTGGGCGTCTGCCCCTTCTGCCGTGAGGAAGCGTTCGACAGCATCTCTGCATATTGCATTTGCCTCCTCCGTTATTTCACTTGCACCTTCCCCTGCTGCTGCTGCTGCTGCTAGCTGCAGCTGTCCTCGGAGCTTTTCGTTTTCTTTTTGGAGTCTTTGAATGATTGCAGATGCCTCTTCTTCTTCGTTAACTTCTGCTACATTCCGCACTTGCGCAACGGCTTGTGCGAATCTACAAGTGTTGATAGTTTCGTTGATTGCAGACAGCTCGAGGGCAACTGTAGCAATCATTCTCGTCTTGCAGTTTCCTCCTAGGGAGTCTTTGAGTACGGAAGTCATTAGCGAGTTTCTGTAGGGCACGTGGGTGGCCTGCCCTGCTGCTCTCTGCTGCAGGGCCACAATGACTTGTTCGAGATAATGCAGTGTTAAGTTGATGCTGCAAGTTTCCTGAAAGACGCAGTCGCCGGGTCTTGTGCCTGACTGCTTAACGCGTTCGGAGCCTGCGAGGTCGACTAGGTGTAACTTTGCCTTTTTCGTGCTGCTGCTACCTGTCTCCTTGCTGGCGATCCATACGGTGAAGATGCAGTGCGAACGCGTTGAACAGTCGTTTAAAGGTGTCTCCGCTACGATCCGATTCGCGTCGCCTATAAACAATAAATTCAATGCCTCCTCCTCTGTCCTCACAGGATTTACAGACAAACCACGCAAACACACATTTCCCTGCTCGTCCGCTACTGCGTACACGCGCTTCAAGTCTTCAAGGTTTTTGCTGTTGCTGCTGCTGCTGCTGCTGTTTTTGTCAGCCTTCATGAGCAGGTCGTATCCCTTGTCTTGGTATATTTCAAGGTAGGAAACGGCGAGCGAGAACTCTTGAGAGGTGCAGCTGGCGACGAAGTCGAAGACCCTAGCCAAGGCGCGAGGGATGATGCCTCGGAGTTCAAACGCTTCTGCAGCTCCTGTGATAGTGTATGTTTTTCCTGTTCCTGTTTGTCCGTAGGCAAAGACAGTGCCGTTGATGCCTCTGAGGGCGTCGTTGACGACAGGCAGCGCCACTCCATTAAACACCTCTTCTTGTGTCGCCTTTTCGTTAAATATTCCATCGAATTGAAATCGATACTCCTGCCGAGTGTTGTTCAAAGCACTTGTGCTGCTGCTGCCTGCAGCTTCACCCTTAGGAGGAGTTGTTATCAAAGTCCGCTTCTCAGACCCACCAATGCGATGCCACCAACAACGACCCTCCATGGGACGCATCCGCAGATACACCTGAATCTTGCTGCTGCCGACCTCCTCTGGATCAGGATCCTGCTGCTGTTGTTGATCCTGTTGTTGCTGTTGTTGCTGCTCACCAAAGCTGGTGTTGGCGCAGCTGAGGGCGTCGACGTCGCCTCGCGAGTCGCCCATTGTCTTTGGATATTACGATGTGCAGTTTCAAAGGGGGTTCCTTGGATTGTACGTACAGCCGATCATTGAATGTGATCACAACGAGAATACTAAATGGATGCAGTGTGCTTCAAGAATAATATGCAAAACTTGTTGCCGTCCTGCTTCATTCAAGTTGTGAGACAGATGCATGACTATATTTTGATTGAGAAGTTCCTCAACACTGAACTAGCTATTCGGAAGTCTACTGTGTGGTAAAAAGAGGAAAACGCATACAAATGTATGCATGCAGGTCCTGCTGCAGTTGCTGTTGCTTCTGCTGTCGGCTTTGAGCTGCAGGTGCGGCAGCCGTTATTTGCTACTCTTGCTGCTTCTCCACGTCATCCCTTTGGAAGGAGGCTGAAGTGCGCCCCTAAACTCGCAAGTAATAATACATATTATTTGACGCATGAGCATAGGAGGTGCGGGTGACGATCATCGAATGCATTATTTTTTCAGTGTTATGATCTGCAGCAGACGACGGACAAGTCGGCCTTTTTGGATGAGGAGAAGCTGGCCCCCCTTTACGTATTTGTCGGTGTGTGGGGGAGGTATGTAGGAAGGACTCAGATAAAAGAGTACACAGGATGACAGTGTCCCAGGGCCCTGTTTGCCGCCGTGTTTTCTCTTGAAAAAGTACTTTTTACTTGTTTGTTTCTGAACCCTCGGTTTGCCAAGAGCACATTACATAAATGATATCGGCGTGCCGGAATCAGAAAGTAACGGTTTTGCTGCGTTAAATTCTAGACAAATGAAGTGCAGGATTTACGTGGAGCTAGTCCAATTGGTCGTCTGGCGTTTTGTTACTGCGGCTTTCTGCAGGCAGAGGTACGGAGGTTCTGAATTTCCAATAAGTTTGGTGAATCAAATCTATGCAAGGAATTCGATGTATGCAGTGCAAATTTCAAACCTGCGTTCGTTTTACTGGGAAATTGCAACAAGGACACTCCGATGCTGACGGGCTGGCAAGGTGGTGTGCAATGTGCAACGGCCTATTCTTGAGAATCGCTCTTCTTAATTCCAAGATAGAGCAAAATAGTTAAAACACACGAATTGCGTTACACACCCAGCAACACACTTCACTCACCCTCGGAGGGCTGCTGTTACATTTACGGGCGTGTGCACAATTGTGGTGTTCTGTCGATCTCGCGTTTGGGACTTCCCAGCAATCCTTCCAACCGTCACAAACCAAAATCCCATTTTCAAAAATTAATGGGTGTGGGATAAATATTTTTGCACTTTTGCTTGAATTCCAGAAAGGCCATTGTAGACGACACGTAACATGAGGGCGGCAGCCCCAGCGGCCGTCTGCGCTGGCCCAGACAGCCGATTGAAACTGAGCTTTCCTTCATGCTTTTTATTGAAATGTTAATGACTTCGAGCAAAACTCGTTTTGACTGATACACAGTAACTTGCTTCTTAGTCGTTGTGAGGAGCTGGGGAGAACGCTGGCGTCTGTGTCGCTGCAGAAGGCGGCATACAGAAATCGGAAAACCAGAGTCTGTGGCTAGAAGAAAAAAAATCAGTTAAACAATGAGCATTTCACGAAGTTAACTGGACTTGTTTTGTCTACTTTGCAAGATCTTCTACTGCATCTTGGTCCATAAGGAGCACCTGTCAAAAGCAAAACCCACAGTTGCACAAGAGCAGCTGCCCTTCAGAGCCATAAGGGGACGGCTCCAGTTAGCCCTGCAGAGAGAAACTAGCGGTCTACAATTTAGCGTTCACGGTTTGCGGAGTAGGCTTCCTGGAATAGGGTGTAGTACATCAAAATTTAGCTCACGCTGCTGAGGAATTATGGGTTTCGACTTTTTAATTTGGTTTCGCCTTCTCCACACCTAACGGAAACAAAACAAGGAGCTCGGGGTCGGTCTAACTAACGCGATGCCACTGTTCAACTGTTCCCGTAACATTTAGACTTGAGTGTTGAGTGTTTGCGGCTAGGGACCAAGGGTTCGAAAATGGAAAACTGCAAATACGAGCGCATTTTCTGCGCCGAGCAAATCAACGTCCCCCCAAACCTTCCGGTTATTTTGAAGGAGCTGACAAAAGAAGTACTTTAAAGTCATTATTTTTGCCAGCAATGCGTGCAGTGCTCATAAAAAATTATTTAAAATTTCATTCATTAACAATAGATTTAATATAAAAACTGAAGAAACTTAAAAATAATATAAACATATTAATAAATAATAAATAACAAATAATAATACTGGCCCCTGTTGCACCCCTTATGATGTTCAGCTGTATAAATCTCCGTTAGTACTCCATAGGTGACAAAGCTGTCAAAAGCAATTGCTCCTCTGCTCAATATCGCAGCCATGTTTACAAACCCGGCATCCGAACAGTTATGGTTTCTTCTTGCATTTATTCTCTCTGTTGTTGCTTGCTTTTTTGTCGAACCTGGAGAGGTTCGTGCGGTTGATTGGTTGTGCGTGTATGAGAGCCTCTCTCACATATGCATTCATGCATTAATCGCATGGATGGATCGCTTTTGTTTTGTTGCCGTTGTTCGACGTTGTTAGGTCATCAGGGCAAACCCAACAAGTGGAATGGAACCAGCCGGTTAGGATCTTTTGGACTGCCTCACCCCATACCCTAAACGCTAACCCCTATATCCGGCAGTTTAGCAAAGCTCGTGTGAAACGTAAAGGCTTCAAATGAGTGTGTGGGGTGTGAGGCGAATGCTGAGACTTTGGCGTGTAGGGGCAGTGATTTTCATTAAGGATTAGTGGTCTGTGCTTGGGGTTTGAGGGGTATCCATGCGTTGTCTGTAGAAGGGAATTTGCTGGACTACAAGTTGTACGAGTTCTGCTACAAGTTCTTCTCGTCAAAAGTTGCAGGTCCTGTCTGTTGTTCGTATACTTGTTGTTTTACGTGATTTGACCTGCTCTTGGTAATACCATTACCATAATCAAATCATTTTTCTGCTCGCTGGATCGAATGCTAGTATTGCTGCGTTGCTCCTGCAAATTCGGGTTGTTGTAACCGTCATTATTGCCGTCGTCGACGCTTTTACTATTTAACCCTCTTTCATTATTGTTTCTGTGCCTTTAATCATTATTGTAGGTATCACTGCTGCTGGAATGCTTTTCAATCTTTTCGTTGCAAACCCTTTGCTTGCGCATGCCATTACTGTAACTATCATACTATCATACTACCGTTATTTATATTACGATACTGTCCGGTGCTCCATACTTGCATTGTGCACCGTCTCTTCCTCATGTTTTTTCTTTTAACTGTAAGCGAGAAGCTGCTTCATGTTGTGCACTCTGTCTTTCGCTCTAATGCTGCTTTTGTACAGAACGTGAGGCAGCGGCGGTGAACACCGATCAAAGCTAAAAGCTTTCAAGCATCCGGCCACACGGACGCTGTCTAATATGTGGCTATATGTTTACGCACATGCTCATACATATATATGCAGTGCGTTGGAACATAAGTATATTGATTACATGGTCTGCCCTACATCTGCATTATAAAAAAATCCATCTGCACTGTTATGATGGCTCCACCCCTGGATGCCTCTTGCCTCTAAGCAGCTTTCTTGAAGTATATGTTGAAGAAGGCCCAACAGTTTCAAAGCGGAAAAGGCAATGCATCTCTTGCCTTCTGCCTACATTTGTGGTCCAGAAATAGGCAGTCTAGCCAAATGCGGAATGGCAGCCGTTATAGAATGGTGACAACAGTGGCAATAACTCCGCTCTTACATTAACTGCAGTTGCGACTGGTAGTGCTTTTGTTTTTATTACGAACACCGCCCTTACACACAGCGTTTACAAAACACACTGCTGTTTCGAACGCCATTTTTGTTGCCTGCAGGGTAAAAACTAGTATTAGTAATGCTACCGGTATGATTGTTGCAACGGCATTAATTACAGTTTGTTCGCAACAATCATACCGGTAGTATTACTAATAGTAGCTTTTATCCTGCAGCGGCATGTTCCCTACGATAGAACTAAATTGCTTTAGTTCATACAATAGAAGATTGTCTATTAGCATAACCAGTGTGCTTCAGTAGAGTCAAGGAGCTGAGACAAGTAACTGGTGCCATATAGCCTCCAGAAGTAGGACGGCCTGGGGCCGAATATGATACAGGTGGGATACAGCAGACTCTACAATGAGCTGCAGCACGCCTTTCTCTAACTTCTGATGAATCAGTAGAAGACGAGAAAGGAATACTGAATAATACCTGCCTGGAGCCCAGTACCCAGCTCGCGAGATAGTAGAAATTTATTTGGCATCTGCGGAGGGGCCCATGGTACCTTTTTCCTGTTAATACCTATCTAGCGCATAATGAGACTGCCACAGCCGGGTCTGCCACAGTCCCCTTTAGCATACTGCAGGGGCCAGTCCAGACAGAATTTGCTTGGTTGCATGGAAGAGAAGAGGTACACATTGTAGTGGCGGTGTTCCCTTGAAGGGTCAGCACTGCTACCAATATCAAGAAACATCAGATCGTGATATGCTTAGTATGCTTGACGTTGCTAGTAGGCAGCCTGTACTCAAGCAGAACCGTTCAAGTGTTGCCAACAGTGTTATTGCATGCAGAGCCTCAGGTTCAGTTGTGTTTGCATACAGGACTGTCTTGCATTTCTAGTTGTGGCTAGTTGCACTGCAAGTTGTGTTGTGTTCCAGGTGAATTGGCCGGCTTACCTAGACAGCCTCAAGACTGAGGAGGGAGCTCAAATTGTCTTAAGGAGCTCCGATACCATGTGTTTGACTCTACGCTGCGGTTCCTGACAGCAATTCCGTAAAATGGATTACTCTCGCCGCTTATGGTTTACTCCATAAACCATAAGGGTCACAACTCTGCCAAAAACGCTACTTTGATTGGTAATGACAAGGAATTGGGCAACTATTCGCTCTAAATATTTAGACAAATTATTATTTGGCATACTTGTCTCCTCTCTGGCTTTCTAATGCTGTTCGTCTCGCTCTAAACGATCACCTGCTGCGCTGACCTCCTGCCTCGGGAGCAGTTGACTTCCCAACCTTGCAAAAGCTGCTCCACCAACATGAAATATAATAATACATACATTATAATGTGCCGTTTCAATGCAAACGTATCTCTTGGAACATCGAGAAATTGCATTTAGAGGGAATCAGGGACGAAGGGCGCTTCGTGGCCGTGCGCATGAGGGACAGCTGCAACATTGAAATATGCACTGGAGCGCCCCTATTGCAGGTACGTGTTTTGTGTGGAATTCGGTTTAACTTGTGATACAATTTTAAGAGAAAGTTCGACTATCAATTATTTCGCAATTTGTTAGCTCAAATGGGAGGCCTTGCGAGAATCGAAGAGGAAAAGCGGAGTCTCATCATCGGCGCATGCAGCCACGATGAGGGGCCCGCAAGGCAGGAAACCTGTTCGCACCTGGGGCGCGTTCGGGGCTGAATATCAGGGAATGCGGAGGAGTTCATAGGAAATTGGAAGCTCTTAAACTGAAGTAACTCTTTCGAACTCTTTAATTGTTTGTTTTCACCCCGTTTACTTCCCGCTTTCCAGACACACCGCTCCCACAATGACGCGAACTCCGTGGATCGGCGGCAACTGGAAGTCGAATGGCACCGTTGCGTCCATTTCCGAGCTCTCAAAGGAGTTCAACCAGGCGAACTTCAACCCAAGTCAAACGCGTAAGAAAGCACATTTGGCACACGTAAAACCAGACTACTGTGCGCCACCCGCAGCAGATGCTGCTACGACCTGTCAGCTGAGCAACGGCAACAGCTGCAACACGGGAGCAGTTCGTGAAGAAGGAAATTGTGAAAAATTAAGGCATTTGTCATTATGGCTGGAGCAGGGCATTCATTCTGCCGCTCGCTCCAAACCCTAGCCGCTCACGCAACTCCTCATTTGGAGGATGCTATACTCTAGCCGATATCGAGTTCCGTTCCTGAGTCACTTGAGATACTTCAGTGGAACCTTCAACTTAATTAGGCTTCTGGAAATTCTTTTTCTTATTAATTTTATGTACGAAGTGGTTGATTCAGTGGTTTTAAGCGTGGTGTCGGCTGCAGGGTCTCCGCGGACCTGCGCTTTGTTCTACGTGTCATTTGGTTCCTTCTCTGTTTGCCCCTTTGTTTTATTTTTTTCCCTATTTGAACGCTTTTTCAACTTTAAATGTCTTATGATGAGCGTAATTGCCTCTGGCCGTGGCTGTGGGCAGAGGGCCGGAACCCCCAGTCTGGTTGTTGGCGGCATCGGCTCTGTCGCTTGTTTAGCAAATGCAACAAGAATGCAGCAGATAAATGTGTCGGTGGGTAATTTAATTGGTTTAATTTACGGGGTGATTTAAATGGTCCAAACGCTTCTTTTATTGTTTGGCTTCAAGCTATGTTTGAGGAGGGTTAGCTTCACCCGCTGCTCCCGCAGCTCGTATTGGGTATATTTCGTGTAATGCCCGCTAGTAGGCCATTCATTCTCGCTTCTGTTATTTATGTTCTTGCATTATTTGCTCTCTTGCTGCCATTTTTCACGTTCAGAAGTCGTCCTCTTTCCCACTGCATTGCACATTGCACTGGCCAAGGAGAAACTAAAAAATGAGTTCCAAGTCGGCTGCCAAAATATCTCAAAGACTGGACCTGGAGCCTTTACAGGCGAAATAACGTGAGAATACGCACTTATTGGTTCCAAAGCGTGGTCTACCTTTTTCCTGCGTCGCTTCTCGTATGTTTGTCATTTTTCCCCTGCCTTCTTTGTTATGTGGTTGGGTACCTTCCCCTATTGCGGCAAAAGTTACACCTCCCCAACATATTCAGCAGCTATGCGGCTTAACACTTCGTAGTACGGATTGTCCCGTTGGTGTTCGTTTCGACTTTTGTTTGCTTTTTGCACTTGTGTTTGACATGCATTGTGTGGAGGTGGTGTGGCCAGCCCCTGTGCAGGTTGGATGCTGCGTCGGTGCCTGCTGGTGTTTGAATTTGTTTCATTTCGTTTGCACTGCAATACCTAATTGCCTGGTTCATTTGGGTGCGGGATGTGTTGGTGTGCAGAGCAGAGATGGTAGCAGACATGGGTTTGAAGTGGGTTATGGTTGGCCACAGCGAGAGGCGCCAGTACTACGGCGAGACCGATGAAGTCGTAGCTGAGAAAGTTGCGATGGCGATGAAACAAGACGGGCTCAACGTTGTGGTGAGCCCCTTCAACAACAGTTCGCCTCCTTTCCCGGATTTCCCCACCACGGGTTGTTTCGCAAGTAGAAGCTCAAGCCGCTCGATGGGCCTTTGAGCAGCTGCCGTTCCACCATATGTGCATACCTATCTGCTTATATTTGTATGATTGCATTCATTTTGCATGCATACTACCGTTTGGTGCCCGCTGCGGTGAAGCTTGATAGCCCTTCACGCATGCACTTCCATGTGCCTTGTTTGTCACGAATATACTTGCATATGGCTTGTTTGTCACGGATTTGTTTGTAGCTTCGTCACTTAGCCAAAATGGATCGATATACATATGTGTGTATGCTTTTATGCAATGCAGTGAGCTCATATTAGTGGTATGGAGACGGTGGTGTACTTATGGGGGATGTACGATGTGCTGTGCTTTTTTCTTTGGCCTTCATTTCTGCAGCGTATACTGTTGATACATTTGTATTAGTGGATGCGACTTGCCGTTTGTGTTTGTAATTTTGCAGATCTGCATTGGGGAGAAGTTGGAGGAGCGCGAGAGCAACAAGACGATGGATGTTTGCAAGACTCAGCTTAACGCTGTTATTCCGAAAGTAACAAATTGGAATAAAGTCGTCATCGCCTACGAACCCGTCTGGGCAATAGGCACTGGCAAAGTCGCCACTCCTGAACAGGCACAGGAAGTTCACCGTGTACGTCTGCTGCTCCTGCTTTGGTTGCTGGGGTTGCTGGCATTCCTACTCCATCACTTATTGCTGCCAGTGTTGCTGTTTTCGGTGCCGTCGTTAACGCTTTGTTTCCAGCCGAAGCCAAGGCCGTGCTATTGGCAGTATATATTGTGTTAGTTTTGTGGTTGCTGCCGCGGGAGTCGGTGGTGGTTTCGTTGACGATATAGAAGGAATTGCATCTTGGAGAGTGTTAGGGCCCTTTTGTTCAGATCTTTTGTGCTGAAATGAGTGCTGAACTTTGTCGTCTCCGCCGTTGTGCAGGATCTCCGCAAGTTCATTTCCGAGCGTTGCGGCGCCGACGTGGCTGCAGGGTTGCGCATAGTGTACGGTGGTTCTGTGAGCGACTCCAACTGCGTGTCTTTGATTAAATGCGAAGACGTTGATGGGTTCCTTGTGGGCGGAGCTTCACTTAAGAAGGCCTTTATCGATATCATCGACGCCCCCAACAAAGCGTGAACCACGTTGATGTTTTGCGCATACATGGCTTTTGCCTTTCACACTGCATTACCAGTGCCCTGCTAGTGAACGCATGCGGCACGAAGTGAACGATAGAGTAATAAACAAGCAGGCAGAAAATCTGCCCCGTAAATGCAGAGAAAGGAAAGTAAATGCATTTCAAATGCCAAGCTTTGCCCTCGCTTCCTACTGCTGGCCAAGAAAGGCTTCAGCCTGTAGTTGTTTGCTACAACTACTTTCGAGGTGTTGTTTGCTTGCGCTCCGTCACTAACTTCCGTAGCTTGTTTTGTTAAACCCTATTTAAATACAAACCAATGCAACTTTGAATTTCCTGTTGTTTTCTTTCTCCGTTCCATTTCTGCACCTTCTGTGATGAGGCCCAGAAAAACACAGGGGAAGAAGCAGACAGAAGGCCATAAGCATCAAGCAGAGAAGTACACACGGGTAAACGTGCACAACATAACATCTCATGAACGAAAACAGTGCAAAACAAAAGTTGAGTGCCCCTTTGTACTTAGTTATCCCCGTGCATGCGTTGAAGGCTTTCAATGCGTTTGGCCTCCTGCTGACTTCAGCGTGCCGTCTGATGCGAGGTGCCCATGTAACAGGTTTAAAATAGGCAATGTGCTTACTCCCAGTCAGCCCTTTAATGCTTGTTGGCTCGCTAGCAGCTTGACGACCCCACACGTGGTCATTATTGTAGAGCAACTAGACAGTGAACTGCATCGAAAGTTGGGCACCTAGTCATTTCACCACCAGTGCGGACGGTCACCGGAGGCGCCTTGCCGACAACCGAACAATCCACCTATGATGCACCTGTAAAGTTCGTATACTCACTATCCTCATGCGAGGCACTTCATGTATTCGTTTAAACAAATTTTTATGTCGAATGGTCACGCGAGTAGCCAGGGCCAGGTAGACACGTTGTGACACTGAGCTGCAGCAGCTGCAGAAAACAGCAACAGGATCTCTAGAGGTGGCGCCTGCAGCAGCACCTTCTGCAGGCGTCTGTTCCAGCAGGAGAAGCAGCTGTTACGTGAGCGTGTGAGGCCTATTGTAGTCTTTGTTGCTACTGCAGGCTACAGTTTGCCTGTTTAGTATTGAGACGGGTTGCTGCGGCAAGTGAAATGAAATGCCGAGTTCATTCAGCGCTTTCACCAGGTGTAGATACACTTCAGACCGCACCTTCAAGACCTTTCCCCAGTTTCCCCAACCCTCAACGCACGTCAGCCAAAGAGTCAGCTGCGCCAATGCAGGCACAAGCACACAGCATCCCCCAATTTGCGGGCCACGTCTTGTGGTCCAATGCTCGCTACGTATCCAGTTGCGACGTTAGGGTGGAAGCCTAGCTACCAATGTAAACTATAGGCACCACCGCTCTGCTGTATACTCACATATCTGCTCAGTTAGCTAGCTGCTTTTGTATCGGGGAGGGAGTTGCCAGTCTATCCGTGCATCATGCTCTTCGTCTCTATACCGGTAGCTCGCAGTCCACTCACGCAGGTGGATACAGGTGTAGCTAGGCATCATCTGCCGTGTTCTGTATCGGTGTGCGGCGGCTAGCTGGCAAGCTGGCTAAGTTGTTCGCTGGCTAGGTGTGTCCGTGGCATGCCTTGATGCAGTGGCCGGCCTGCACGTCGTAGACGAGGAGACGAAGGGAGTCTTTCACGAAATCCATTTGTCTGCTTTGTACATATTTCTTCATTTCATGTTCCAGAGCCTTTATGAGGAAAAGGGGCGTTGAGATGCTGACGGACACCTCCAGTTCAAACGTCGACACTTTTGCCCGAGATTCGTTTGTTATGACACGCGAAAACAGAGACGCGTTGCTATATATCAACTGCAGAGGAAAAGCCAGGGCAAAAAGCAAAACAAATGCAACAAGCAGTACGGCAGCGTACGGTGGCTAAAGAATCAAAGCTTATGGCTGAATATTTGCTTAACGTGGTAGGCAGCAGATGCTTATATAGGCCGTCCGACCAAAATACGCAGAGCTCATAAATACGAATAGCAGCAAATGCATTCTTACGGGCTTTCCGTGCATGCTTTCGAATTCCGTGGTGTATGTACGGATGCGTCGGACGTACAGGACATCTCCTTCATCTATTCGCACTCTGTCTCCTATGTTATAAGGGTTTGTAAACGCCACGAAAATAACTGCAGTTATGAAGTGCTGGTATATATAGCCTGAAAACATGTATGCATAAAACCACCCTCAAATGCCTTTGCTGCTACACCAGCGGCAGCACTAGCAGTAGCAGGAACAGCGGCTGCAGCGACTGCAGCAGGCGAGCCCAAATACCCTGCAGCATCCCCCGTTTGTGTTCGTGGTTTTGTATTTGACTAGTTACGCCTGTTGCAGTTCGCTCGTCTCCATTTGTTCCTGCCACGGTATGTCTGTCTCATTATTTCTTTCCGTTTCTGTCTCGAAAGAAGGTTCTGCTCGTCTCTGTTAGCACCTGCTCTCAGGGGTTGTCGTGTGTATCTCTTCCGTTCTGAGATCTGTCCCTAAACGTCTGTGCTTATCTGTATTGCATCCATGTCCCTTTTTTATCTCTTTCGTCTGTGTGCGGTGAAGGCCAAATGCGCACTTAGAGCAACTGTGACTGCCGATAAGAAGGCAGCCCCCGACATAACGACTGTATTCATTTCAACTCCCATCACCAGCAGTAGCACTATCAAAGTAACAAACCACAGCAGCAGAGACATCATCCGCAACACAGTCGAAGCAATGCTTGCTTGACTCTGAACACACGTACCACAAACTCAAAACCCTAAACCGTAAACACTTAACCCGACGGCCAAATACCAAAGCCTGTCTCTTACCTTGAGAGCTCGTACAAGTCGTTTACGAAGACTGTATATGTGCAGCACAGCCCGTTGAAACATCATTTTGTTTATTTTCCCATGGCCTGAGGAACCTCACAAACCACAAAACAAAAGAACAGATAAACAAGGACCGAGGACAAGTTAAGACAGAGCAAATGTACAACAACAACAAAATACCTAAACTACAGGTCCTCACAACTAACCACCATGACAATGGAAACAGGAATAACTGCAGTGCAATGAAAATCGCAGCAAACACTATCACTAACAATAGCAGCAGCAATAACAATAGCAACAACCATTAGAAGCAATCATAACAATATGCAACAATAACAATATCAATAGCAATGAAATTGTGTTGCACAGCAATGCGCATGAAACTTTAGGATACAAAGATCTGTCCGTGCATGCACTCACATGAACACGCAGTCAAATGAATACATCAATGCATGCTCTACATTCGCATTCGCGCCGCATTAGAATGCAGTAGATCCTGGATTGATGAATTCACATGCACATTATAGCCTCTACAGGCAACTACAACAATTTACGTTGTGTACTAGTGCTTCCGTAGAACTGAACTCATACATGTACGCAACGCCAAACGCAGGTCCACGCACAAATTTGCCATGTGCATGCAAGCGTTTGCTTATGGGACAGATGCATGCAATCATGCAACACACACGCCTGCACGTCCCCATGCACCGACAGCAACCGTTGTCTATACCTGCTAGGTCTGCATGCTTCATGAATTCTTCCGCCTCATCAGGCTTAAGAAATCTTTCGAGTATTTCTCTGCTTAGGTACTGATCCTCTTCCTGGGGTGCATCGACACCCAAGGCACTGCCGCCCTCCGACGGAGCTCCAGAGCTCCTTACCTTAGCTGCATGCTCTTCCTCTCTTTCGCTCTTTGCAACTCCCCCGCATCCAGTGTACTCGCGATCAGGAACATGATCAGCATCGGAATCGGTTACTTTCGCCTGTCCCGATTCCCACAGCCCCCGTTCTTGCGGCTGCTGATGCGCACTGGGGGCTGATGTCTCCTCAGACCTGCTGCCCCCCCACAGACATCCAGACATTCCGGACTTAAGATGGCTGAACTGCTGCTTTTGAGGTTGCTGCTGCCTTTGCTGCAGTTGCTGCTGGTGTTGCTGCTGTTCTTGCTGCTCCTCCTGTTTCTGCTGCAGTGCTAGACCAGACATCATGCAGTGCAGCTTGTCGCTGCAGGTATTTCCTACTTTGGAGCTGCCTGAGGACGTCTTCTCGCCAAGTGAATCTTTGTTGTTTGTTTCTTCTATTCCCTTGGCTTCCGGCTGCTGCAGCCCCGATAGTATTTCCGTCTGCTGCCTTCTCGCCGCTGCAGGGCGCCTTAGCAGCAGCAAATGCCGTCTGGCCAACAGTCCTCTGCTTTGCTGCTTGCAGCTGCTTCCGCTGCTCCTACCATTGCCGCGCAGGTTCTTGGTGTTGCTGCTGCTCATGGTGCTACGCTGGTCATTTGTAGTCTCAGTGCATGGGTTGTCACAGCTGGGAAGAGGCGAACCGAACTCTCTTTCCTGATTCGGTTGCTCCTTGTGCTGCTGTTGCAGGGGCTGGAGTGGCTGGGGCTGCTGTTTCTGTTTGTGTTGTTGTTGCTGCTGCTGCTGCTGCCCCAGAGAGTGCGTGCGTGGCAGAGTGTGTGAATATCCTTGTAGCTCCATGTTTGAATTATTGCTTAGTTGTTGTGAATCCCCAAATGCTTCAGACGGCAACTTTACGTGGTTGGTTTCCGTGTTACCTTCGTCCTGCCTCTTCGCTGCACCAAAACTTCTTGCTGCCTCCTTACTGCCTCTGTTAGTGTTGCCTCCATCCGGTGATTTCTGATTGTCTGAGGCCTTAGACGTCACTCTGCGTGCAAGCCGTGTCTCTGCAGGGGATACGCGGTAGGGGGCTTCCTCAGCGGGCGCATCTTTGGGGCCATCTGTGGGTCCTTTAGTAGCGGTGCCAGAGGGGCCCATGGGGAGGGTCCCCCCATTGAGCACAGCAGAGAAGAGGAGAGCTGCAGCCGTGGATGCGACGTCTTTGTTCGTCAATTCGATGCGTTTCCCCGGCAAGAAGATCATGGGGGGTGAATAGAGACAAAAGTGGACATTCAACCAATTTCGAACTTGCGACGTTTTGCTGCTTTCAATATTCTTTGGCCGCAGCGGCTCCGGTAGTACTACTCACAAACATACAAACAAACATCAAGGGTACAAGAATCAAAACTAAAGTTTAACCTATCAAGGCCTCTATGCGAACGCATCCGGGGTAAATGCGTCCCATTCCACAGCCGGTGTTGGGAAGATGAAGACACTTGCACCTATATTGGTGCAGCAGCAGCAGCAGCAGCAACAGCGCAGCAGACACACGGATAGCATCAGGATTGGAGCCGCCGCAGCGTCAGTCTTCTCAGGTCACCATATAGCAGTCCAGTAGAAGTTCAAGCAGCAGGGGCCAGTGTGGTGTAGAGACAGACAACCTACCTGTGCCTTGCAGCATTCTTTCTTGCAGTTTTTCTGCCTGATTAGCGAAGGCACTGACAGGAAATGGGAGTAATAACGGATTGCCTCTGTTTTGGGGCTCCTCGCCTCCCCAGCCTGCGGCGGCACCCTTCTCGAATCCCAACCCCCCGAGGAGCAGTCGCCTCTGTCTCGCAGCAGCTGCAAACAGCTTGAACCCCCCAAGAAGTGCCTTTAAAAGAAAGCCAAAACTGAGCAGCAAAGACCAACGCAAACCAACACAAACCAGCACTACATACATGCATACATGCACACACACATGGACACACATACATGGTCACACACACACACACACACACACACACACACACATACACACACACACACACACACACACACACAACGCTTCTGCGCAACCGCAGAAGCTGCCCTATGCTTCATCTGCGCCTCCCGTTGGCGACGCCTCATGTGTGGGTGCCAGGGCTGCCCATGGCACGCGTGCTGTCTTTCCTGATCCTGTTGCTTCTTTTGGTTGCTGCGAGATAATTAGGTTCTATGGGGGAGGAGTCGTAACTGCCCAGTTTTGCATTCAGGGATTCTGCCTGCATTTGGCGCTTCTATGCACACGGCCTTCTCTTGCTTAGTGTGCCTTCCCATTTGCTATGGTGTCTTAGTCGCCTTTTTCCTACGTGGTATTGTCAGCATTTTGCAGCGGCATTTGTGTTATAACTTATTACTTTTGTCTCATCCCCCGATACCAACCGCAGGGGAGGCATCGGCGTTCTTGTTGCTCCTGCTGTTGCAACTCCCCTGGAGATAGACAAGCCGTTGCTTCAGGCTCAAAGGGGTCCACTGACACAGCACAACTTTTCGTAATATGCCGCTGCTGCGGATGCGGATGCGGGTGTTTGTTTAGAGTGTTGGCGCTGACTTCAGCGGGGTGTACGCGGCTACTTTCACTTTCTTTTGTCTGCCTGCTAGAGCCGCCAGAGAAAATGACACAGATGGAGGGCCCAACGGTATACATACACCTTCAAAGCGCTGCAGAGGGCGGCAAAGACTGGAGGATATCGAACTGACACTAGTAGGGAGGAAGCAGACAAACGAACAGAGTTGAACAAGAAAATTGCTTTAAAAAAATAACGTCCAGTGCACAAATGACGGCAAACTAACGATCAGCATAATGCTAAATAAACAAGCAAACTCAAAAAGTACCCATGAAGATGCCAGCACGCAGACCGACACAAATCAGCAAGCGAACTTATTTAAAGCAGCAAACAACACAACATCCAGAAAACCAGTCAGCAAAATGTCCAGGTATGTCCCACTACACAAACGACCAGCAACCCCTTGATTCGGAAGAGAAGGGAGCGGACACAAAGCAAGAAAGGCGACGACAAGCGCGGCGCACGTACAGCGCAGCGAGCCACTTGGCATTCAGCTTGCGAACAGCAGAGGAACGTCGGAGGTAATGGACGACTTGGGCGTTCATACTCATGAGAAACCCCAGTTCAAAGCAGAAGACCATCACTGCTAGCAGCAGCCGGCGCACAGCCAATACCATTAGCACCATATTTGTCACCTGAATCACGCGAAACAAACTCCGCGTAAACAGCAGAGAAGACCCAAACAAGACAAAGTACATAAGAGGCTCTGGCGCTTCCTCTGTCGTTTTCAAATATATCATATAGTGGCCTGCACATACGCCAAACACACACACGGAACAGTATCAATAACAGCAACAGCAACGGCAGTGGCGGCAGAAACCGGTGCGGCAGAGGCTGATGTGGCACAGCAGTAGCACAGCCACCACCAGAAACAGCTTCTGCAAGCACAGCGACCTGCAATAGCAGGCTTTGACGGCAGTATACTTCCCTGAACCACAGTCATGCATGGACTTCTGCTGATGCAATTCGTGTAGTGCTGCCACTATGGTCGTTGCACAGGTGTCCAGGACCGTCAGCACACGCATTGGCACCAGAAAACGCAATTGCAGCAGCAGCAATAACAAATACAGCCGCTGAACCTGCTACGTTTTGCGTGCGTGTTGCACTGGGCTGACTTTCTTTTGCGTTCCCAAGCCACCAGACATAGACGAAAATGCTCCAGGGAACGTAAAATATCTCCGGATCGACCGTTGCAGCGAAGGCAGTCGCAGCAGGCATACCGTGCTGGACTGCCTGCAGCAAGCCCAAAATCACCACCACTCTGCAACAGAAACAACGGCTCATATTAGGGTTTGTGCCTTAGTATAGGCTATAGGGTCTAGTGTTTAATGTCTTGATCGTACAGGTATGTGACTGCAAATTTACTGTTGGCTTATGAGTGCAGCAGGTGTGGCTTCAGCGGTTTAAGCTATTTTAAGTAAGGCCTTCTTATTAAATGCTTAGATTCTATCTTTTAGGTGAGTGCAGGGGTCGTTGCGCAGGTTGTACACTTGCTTCACGCGGATCGGCTAGATTTAGAATTGATGGTGCAACTGCCAAGCTATACGGATACAACTGTAGGCCTAAGGGAGAAGCACTGTTATATAATAGGGTTTATGGTTTAGGGCGAAGGTTTTAGGGTTTAGAATATGAAAGAAACCTGGCTAGCATGAAGCAGAGGAAGAAGCAAACGTTCAGCAGCACAACGCGAAAGAAGGCAGAGGCACCGTTTAGAAGAAGCGAGTTGCTGTTGATATCTCCGACCTGGGGGTGTACAAACAGACAGAAAATAAAGTGTTTACATTCGATTTGTTTAACATGGATATGTTTTGTCTCCACTTGGATGTCGTGCCTTTCATCTGTATGTATCGTGTTGCGGATTTTAGCGTCAATGGGCTGCATGCTGGTAGTTGTGTTGGTGTTGCTCCTGCTGTTGTTCATGGTGCCGAAGTATTTGCTGTTGCTGCTGTTGTTGGCACTACTTTCGCTGTTGTTGCCTTTGTTCCTGCAGCTGCTACTTCCACAACTCGTGCAGCATTCGCTGTAACTGCTGCCTTCTAACTGCAACTGCAACAAGTGCAGCGGCACTGGCAGCAGCAGGAGCAACGATATTGGTAGCAGCAAGGCAACAGCATGAGGAGGAGCAGCAGAAACATTAGCAGGAGGGGGAGGAGTAGCACTCCTGGCGAAAACAGGAGAAGGAGCAGTAGCAGCAGCAGAAGGACCAGCCCTCCGAGGAAGACCAGCACAATGCGCACAACTTCAAGAGGGGGTTTGGCTTCACGGCTTGTGGGGACCCAAGATGGTGGTGCCCTAGCAAGGAAGAATTCTGACTTAGCTGTTGCAACTCTTTCTAAACCCATGAGGAGCAGCAAGAAGCAAATAAAGAGCTGCAGGAAGAACCATACAAACGGAGGAGTGTTGGGGAAGAATGCGTGGAACCAACTGCGCAACAAGGGAGACAAACAACAGCAAGGAGGCGCCTCGTCTTCTTGTTCAGAGTCTGCATCTTCCCTTTCTTCTTCTGTCTCCTTCGGTGCGCTCAGGCCTAGAGACCCTAACGGTAATGCACACGCTGCCCCCCTATCCCCTGGAGAGCTGCAGCAGCCTGGTGCTACGGAAACACCTGCTACATCTGGTGTTTCCACTACTGCTCCTGAGCGAGCTGCAGCATCGCCAGTGCAAGGCCCCTCAGCAGCAGTAGAATTCACCTACAAGGAAACAGCATATCGAAAGGTCAACAGTGGCGGCAATTAAACACAAGAAAGTATGTACGCATACAATGCACACACCAAAGAAGTGGGACAGCAAGCAACGGAACAAACGAGGGAAACATATGCGTGCTGCATCGCCATCAGAATGCATACAAGATGTATTTACATACATAATGGGGATGTCATATTTGCGTACGATGCAACAAATATAGTCGAGTCTAGGGAGAAAATGGCACAGATGACCAGCACAAAGGAACGCAACGGGGAGACACAGCCGAAGAGGCAAGGCAAAGGAAGAAAGGACAGATATTCAGAGCCAAAAGAGACTACGCGGCAAAAGGACACAGGAAGATAACAAACCGAATGCGACGACAAGAACGAGGGGCCAAGGTTGTTCAGATGCGGCGATTCCTTGAAATAAGGGTGAAACATTCGGCTTGTAGAATCTACTGCTGCTGATTTATCTGTTGCTGCTGCTGCTTGTGCCGGAGCTGCAGTTGTTGCTGCTGTTAATGCAGGAGCTCCTGCTGCAGGGGCTGCAGCTCCGGCAGTTGCCTGTTCTCTGAGATCTAGAGACCCTCCACAGCAACTCTGCATGTCACAAGTACCACGGTGGTGGCGTGGATGATCCAGGAGATGATGTTGTGGAGTTCCTTGCGGTGCTGCCGATGCCGGCAACGCTGATCGTGCTCCGGTCGCTTCGCTTGCTTCAGGTATTGAGATTGGCAGGAGAAATTGCTTCTGTTGCTGCCCTTGCTGACGCCGCCACGGAACCTGCTGCTGAAGGAGCTGTTGCTCGTGCGTGTGCTGTACCTGCGCCTGCTGCTGCAGGTGCGTTGGCTGCTGCGGCTGTTGCGCCTGCAGCTGTGCTGCCGGTGGGAAATCAGAAGGGGCTGGTGCCTCTGCAGCAAGTAAAGACGCCTCTTCCCTCCCCCCCCAAGGCGTGGGTGTTTTCTGGGCTTCCATGTGCAACGCGTTTGTGGCGGAGGCTTTGCCTCTTTGTTCGCCTTTTTGTTCGTGAACTTGTTACGTGCGTGTCACTCGACGTACGTTCTAGCATTTGCCGCTGCTGAGTGAGGCTGGATGGCTCACTGCTGCACAATGAAGGTTTGTGCCTTATGTTGAATGGTTCAGTAAGGTTGAACACTTCGTCCCCGTTCTTAAAACTCAAGACCGATGCATATCGGCGCAGGTGTTGCTCCTGTCCAATCACTGGTAGTGTGATGGCGAGATGAGCAGTAACGGCGGAGGCGTAAACAAAATGCTAGAAGGAAAGAACGGAAAAATTAAAAATAAATAAAGCAAATGGAAACAGGCTGGCTGCATGTTGCTTCATCGTTTGTCGTAGTAACAACAATCAAGGCCAGGCGCCCTGCGAGACAACGGTCTAGTGTGATGCTGGCCCCAGCTGAGGGTCCATAAAGGCCGGAAGATATATATACAATGGTATTTAGACGTATAAGTGGACGAAAATAGGCAAAATGGCAGTTGAGATGTACAGGCTTCTGGAGCGGTTCGCAGGTGTGCGACGGGTTGTCTTGCGGAGACAGGAAATGGACAGTCATAACGGGGAGGTAGCATCCATGTTTTCTTCCCTCAGTCTTGACGGACTTGTTGAATAAAAGGTAGGAAATGTATAAATCGCAATATGTATCGAATTTATTACTATACAGGATGGCGGAAAGCAAAGCCAACCAGATGATCTCAACGGAGACGGTTCTATCCCGCGAACAACTAACAGTTGTTGTTTGGTTTTCGTCTACCCACGGGAGGAATGTATTATTTGTATTGCTTGACTACAAAAACTAAGTTAAAAAAATAGCAAAATGTCTGATGGTGCTTGTTATTGAAGGAGTCCGCGCCTCTTGACCAGACCACGGAACCGATTGCAGGGTCACTCATGTACGGGGCATTGCTACCGGCTAGCAGCTTCTCTGTAACATATCCACTCTTGTTTTATTTCCAGTTAGCTTCCAACTAACTTTTTGAAATGCAGGAAACTAATGGCATGTGCACCTTTGTTTAGCCTGAATTCAACGCGAGGATTGCTGAGGCGGCGGTAATAGCGGGCTTTGCCGTTGAATTGTAGGAGCAGCTAAACTAGAAAGCAGCTAGGGAAGGAAATTAAACAGGAGGAAATGGAAGTATTTAAGGTATGGAAAATCCCCGGACACAAAAACAAAGACGGGCAGGAAGATTCCTGTTGCTGCAAATAGCTGGTGTCTTCCGCGCACAGCGCCTATGAGGAAAAAGTGGAACGTACCATTTCAGGCCTCCCAGGTGTAGAGGTGAAGTTCGCAGTTACCACCTGCCCCTCTAGACTACTCAGCGTTACCGAGCAAAAGCAAGAGTCCTCGATGTCAGCTGAAGGTAGTTGTGAGCTGCATTGAAGTCGAAATGTTTCCCATGAGCCTTCTCAAACAGGAGCTCACCGTCCCACGAGCCTGAAGGCATCCTGAGCACAGCGGTAGAAGGATTTAAGGCTGGAGAGGAGAGGAGGCAGCCTCTCATGAAATTTGCCCCTTTTGCAACCTCTGGTGCCAGAAAACCCCATAAGAAAGCACAATGTAGCCCCTTTTGATGCTCCTACTAAAAGTGTACACAGTTGTAAAACGCTCTCTTCACCCTCAGTAGCCATTCTGAGCAAGGGGAAGAATACTTATTCCAACTTCTGATATGCCACTCTACATTATATGTCTATGGAAACGCACTACTAGGATACGAGTGGGGCGGCGGATTTAATCCTGCTTCCCATTTATATTTCAAGTAAGTTACTTCTGCAAAAGGGCCCAGGAACCTGATTAGGTCCATCTTTGACAGCGTTTAAAATCTCAACTGCTTTGGTGGGGCTTTGGCTGCTGCAGTTCCGCTGGAGGTGCCCTAACTCTGGCGCGCTGACGTGACTGGACCTCACACTGGAGAAGGTGAGAATCACAAAAAAATGGTGGTTCGCCATTCGTAAATGAGCCATGCAGGCTGTAAAATAAACTTAAACTCAACCGGAACAAATAAGCAAGGTAAGCTGAATTCAGTGAACCCTTCACATACCGGTAGATCAAGAACAATATGACTAACCTGGAGGCGTGCATTCGACGATTCCACGGAGCCCCTATTGACCAACCATTTTCGAGTGTCTGCAGTCCTCATTAACTGCTTTGCATCTGTCATTGGGGCGTTAGTGATGTTCCATTTGAAACTTAAACATAAAATTTTTGGGAGGAGGGAGAATCGGCCAGAGACCAGTCGGTTGTCCAGGTGACAGTTGAACCCCAACTATTGATAGTTCTCCTTCTGAACTGTCAATCTAACACCGTCTGTGGGCCATGTATAACCTATTCACAGCCTAAATGCTGCCTTGCGCAATCTTAGTCGTAACAACAACGCTTGCGAGGCAGTTCAGAGGGCGTTCGGCATATCGAAGCTAATAATGTCCAAGGGAACAAACTACAACGGGGAGCTTTTGCTTTTCATAGATCCACTGACTGTATTTTCACACTAAAACGACGCTTTGCTTTTCAATAGGTTACAGCTGCGAGGGGCCTCGCCTCGAGCCTAGTCTAAAACTACTACTGGCTGTAATGGAGCCAAAGAAGCTGACGGCGCTCCTCAGTCTCCAGGCTTCCTGGGCACAAAGGCTCATGCACCTGGAGCTGTGGAAGAGGATGTGGCATTATATTCGTTGCAACACACCTTGTTGCAACTCAATGTGCAAGACAGTCCCACATGCCAGCGAAAGCAAGCCTTCCTGACTCCATGAGCAGACGCTGTATACCATTATTGACTGCGTACCGTTGGTATACAACGGCCGAGGAAGAGTTCATGTACCGACTGCAGACGTAGCTGCCAGCTTCAGCCAGATTATGCTAAAAGAATGGAACGGTGCGGCCCACGCTCCAGGCTATTTGTTCACCCGAGTGTCCTTAGTGATATATCCGCTATTTTGTGTTACTACAGCCTCTTCCTATTGAGGTAATAAGCCTTTAATAATTACAGAGCACGAAGAACATTCGCGATTCCGCTAGAGCCGAGTTAGAATACGGTCTCCCATGCTAGCACGGTGTGTGGCTTCCGTTCTCGTTTTCCGCAATCGTGGAAATTCAAGGAATACGGAAGCAGATATCAATGCAGGAAAGTGAATGAATATGCAGCGAAATTGAAAAAGCATGGGACCCTCAAATGGGCTAGGAAGAGAGCCTGCTGTAGCAAACTGTGATCTCATATGGGGGCTTGAAGTTACGTAGCTGGCATGTATATGTTCGGCACGGGGTGCGTCCCCTAGGAGGGAGCCTCAGGAAACAAAAAGTGTAACTAATTTAAATGTAGGTCATAATGCTAGTGCAAGAGTCATGGATTATTCGTTGCATGGACTGATGCGAATCCAGAGGCCAACTGGAGGCAACGCACTGTGGAGGCGCTGCTTGCCATCTGGGAAGGCGACATAAAAGAGTCCCCATAAGACTAAATTCAACTTACAAACAATACTGTTTATATATATGCTTCATTAAACTAGTATTGCTACCAGCACTGGCCTAACCGTAGACACGCATACTGTGGTCTTCCACTAGGAGGCGCAGGGGAGGGCGCCGCACGGAGCGTTGCCATCCACCGCCACAGGACCCACGACCTGATCAATAGCTTGCTTTCTTTTGCCCTGCGCGTCATTGCACTTTTCTGGCAAGTAGTTCGAAAAAATATTCCAACGCGAATTCAGTTTTTGCCACAAGTCGCATCCATGCGGCGTTGGAACACTCCGTGACAGCGTCGCACTTCAGCATCCTACTTAGGGTGTACATCCAGCACAGAACACACGCCTCCCTTGAAGCTCACATTTATATCACTTCGTTGCTGATCGATCGCCTACGCGTGCAAAATCCACTCCGCCACGTTCCCTTTCCGTATATTCTACCTGGCTGGCCCACGCCCGCAGAACTGTACTTGCCTGTTCAACAATGCAGATCTTTGTCAAGACCCTCACGGGCAAGACCATCACCCTAGATGTTGAGCCATCAGATACCATCGAAAACGTAAAGGCGAAGATTCAGGATAAGGAGGCATAAGGAGGACTAGTCGTCGCAGAGTAAAAGCGGCCGTTCGTCGACCTCCTACCGTCCTGCGAAAGGCTAATGTTGTAAGTCTTCCTCAGATGGGAAGTAAACCAGCTGCGTTTGAGAGGTGGCATGCAGATCTTCGTGAAGACTCTGACTGGAAAGACCATCACTTTGGATGTTGAGCCATCAGACACCATCGAAAACGTAAAGGCGAAGATTCAGGATAAGGAGGGTATTCCTCCCGATCAGCAGCGTCTCATTTTCGCCGGCAAGCAGCTGGAGGATGGCAGGACGCTTTCCGAT